AACTCACCGCACTTGGGGAAGGTCGCGATGAGCACGTCGTCATCTGCGTATCTCCTCGTCTTCACCTACGTACAGAAGCCATCACTGACGTCCTGTAGGTAGATGTCTTCATAACCTCACGTAGTGGCTCGGTATGCTTGGATCGTCCGACATGACTGCCAACTATAGCTGCTAACACACGCTAACACGCTGACCGACACGCGGACACAGCAACGCTAACACACTCACACGTCGACACAACGCTAGCACACTCACGACCACGCGGACATGCACGCTAACGACACACTCACCACAGCCTGACACACACGCTATAACACGCTGACACCCGGGCACACACGCTAACACACTCACACACGCGGACACGCACGCTAAACACACTCACACACGCTGACAGCACATGCACACAAGTCCCACGGCAGCTATAACACGCTGACCACAGCGCAGGTCACGCACGCTAACACACACACACGCGGACACGCACACTAACACACTCACACACGCTGACACACGAACGCTGACCCACACGCTGTCTTGCACGTTGACACGCACGCTATAACAGCTAGGGACACAAGCCAACACGCACACCCGCACACGCTGACACCCGTAGACTCTGACAAACACCACCACTACATTCACACGTACTTTGGAAGTTGGTCAACGAATACGTGCACACTGGCGCCGTTCATGCAAAGCAAATATCGTGTGATATATAGGTCAAGAGCCAAAGCCTACAGCAGCGGGCAAGTTGCAAACTGAACAATTAGTGCATCGGGATATTCCCGGGCGGCAAATAGCTCATCGAGACGTTAGCGCCCGTCGACGGGCCGTAAACGACGATGGCGCCACCTATGCGTGAGACGGCTTGCGACGTCCGTCGAAGGTTGGGCTAGTGACGCACACGGGGATGCCGCTAGGGTGACGAGTGATGGCGGGTGTCGGCGGGTCGCTTACATAGATCTCGCAGCCCAATAAACTATACTCTATACCCTATAACCTATTGGGCTGCGATTTCTATGGTCAGTTAGATCACTCAACTTAGAACTCGCTCTATACGCTATAGCTAGCAGATACTCGCTCGCTTAGATCTTGGCGTAATAAGGATAAATACTACTCCAGCACCTACGTCAGCTTATTACTCCAAGCTTAGATCAACGAATTAATGCGTGCAAAAATGCGCATCCATGCACATCGCCCCGCGCGCACTCTACGGGTCAAATGTTGAAACGTTTGCCGATTCGCGGTCGATAACGTGAAAAATTTGAACGGCTGATAGAAAGTTTGATAGAACGTTGAAAAGTTGATCAACTCGTCGGATTTTCGATAGTGTAAACCTAGCTTTAGATGTGCGAGGAGGAACGGTGTTACGTGCTAGCGACTGCTCACGAACGAGTTATATACAAGAGATGCCACCGTCAAAGAAAAACGAAACAAAGAAAAGATGAGGAATAGGACAAAAATAAAGAGGGCTTTGTAGACGCTGACCGAATTGTGTATGTCTGTATGTGTGATATTCTTGACTGGATGAGGGCAAATCAGGTTACGATGTTGGGAAAGACGAAGAACGCGGTCTACTGCTGACTTAAGCCTAATCACCGTGTTACAGCAGTAATGTTATTCAGATTTTTGCAGCAGTACAGCAGTACTCTTATTCAGCCTTTAGTTACACCGACGAGCCAAAAACACCCGCACGACATAAATATATAACCAGGGGTTAATAATGACAAATATAACAATTAAATAATTAACAAATAATAACAGCTAATCGTTAACAATTAAAAATGACAATTTGTCATTATTGACCCCCTGATATGACGAGTCTAACTCATGTACACGCACCAGACAGTTGGTACAACTAGATAAACAGTAACTATACGTGTTAGGCCAATAAAGCACAAATAAATAGTCAGGGGCGGTCTTTGGCCTCTTACACGCATAGTAAGGTCACACATTGCGCTGTAAATCCGTATTAAATAAATAAGAAATCTTGCTTTTGCACTCCAGGTAGTGAGCAGGTGCACGCAAATATAGCGATGAAGAGATCAAATAATTTCCCTATCAAAGTGCTCGCGAGGTTGTGCTACTATTTGTATGCGCTACTCACCTATATAGTATTGGAAGTGCATAATAATAGATTATAATCTAAGATTAATAGATATCTAAGACTATAATTACTCACTCCAGATAGTATTAATTCGTTGGAACTTCTTTGCCCCATACTAGGCTTACACACTGGTCTTTGAATGTAAATAGAGCAAGAAATTCGGCTCCTTTTAACTATTAACAAGATGCCATTCATTACCCCTACCTCTCCCTACATTTCCCCCACACACATATATCCTCTACCCGCACCCTCCCAATACACCGAATCTACCTCTCCCTGCATCTACCTTCTCACACATTGCCTCTACCCGCACCCTCCCAATACACCGAATCTACCTCTCCCTGCATCTACCTTCTCACACATTGCCTCTACCCGCACCCTCCCAATACACCGAATCTACCTCTCCCTGCATCTACCTTCTCACACATTTCCCCTGCCTCCACTTCTTCATCTGCCACTCTGCACACACTTGGAGCTTTGCACCCTACAGGCTAGGACGCTCTCCTCATTATAAACATAGGTCTACTAATAGCAATTAATTACATAAAATTATGCAGAGATACCTCCTTACCATATTAAATGCATATTCATAACAAAATATGACTCCTCTGGTGAGATATTGCGCATGCGCAAACACCTTTTCGGGCGTGCAGTACGAACTGACGAAAACTGCATAATATCGCTTGATGAGAGAGAGGGGGGGGTGGGAGACTGAGGTCAGGAGGCAGGGAAGATAGCTGAGGTCGGTAGAAAAAGAAGGAGGCTGAGCGAGAGACAAGGAAGCCAATGGGAATGACGGGAGAGGATCAAGTTAGAGTTTTGCACCCTACAGGTTAGGGCGCTCTACTAATTATAAACACAGGTCTACTGATAAAATTTTATTACAGAAATCTAGGCTGAGATACCCACTAACCATATTAAATGCATATTCATAACAAAATGTAACTTCTCTTGTGAGATATTGCGCATGCGCTAACACACTAACGTAGCCAGATTGAGTACTCACTGTTATATGCAGCGGGCACCTTACATGACATGCAATGTCTTCTTCCCATTTTGTAAGAAAAGCCTATCGATAAAATGTTATCACATAAATCTATGCTAGAATACCTCCTCTCCATTTTAATCGCACAATTCTCGCAAAATATTATTCTTATCGGGAGATATTGCGCATGCGCGAGCACCGTTTCAGACGTGCAGTACGGACTGACGAAAACTGCATAATATAGCTTGCTGAGAGAGAGAGAGAGAGAGAGAGAGAGAGAGAGAGAGAGAGAGAGAGAGGAGTGGGAGACTGAGGACAGCAGGCAGGGAAGATAGCTGAGGGCGGTAGAAAAAGAAGGAGGCTGAGCGAGGGAAAGGGAGGCAATGGGAAGGACGGGATCGGATGAAGTTAGAGTTTTGCACCCTACAGGCTAGGGCGTTCTACTAATTATAAAGACAGGTATACTAATAAAAATTTATTAAAGAAATCTAGGTTGAGATACCCACTAACCATATTAAATGCATATTCATAAGAAAATATAACTTCTCTGGTGAGATATTGCGCATGCGCTAACACACAAACGTAGCCAGATTGTGTATTTACTGGTCTATGCAGCGGGCACATTACATGCAATGTCTTCTTCCCATTTCGTAAGGATGGCCTACCGGTGAAATGTTATCAT